AGCAACAAAGCCCACATGGAAGAAGCACACCAGCCTGTGTGATCACGAGGTATTGAAGGGATCAGGTATCAGGCATCAAGGAACAAAAAATCATATCATTGTGAATGAGGGGGAGTGCAGATTGGGGACCCGAAGCCCATCTGTGGGCAACTGGACATCCCCTTACAGAAGGGTCGCTGGGAGGAGATGAGCCAGTCAGGGTGCAGTGTAGCAACGATGAAACCTACAACTTTCCTCTAGTTCTTAAATGCTTCCTCACCCCCTCACCACCACTATCATGATCCCAATTCTACCTTACAAATCCGGCTGGACCAGAGGTTGTACACTGGTACAGATAAGAACTGGAAACACAGGGAAACCAGGACAGATGATCCCTTTAGGACTAGTGGTTGTGGCGATACCAGGAGGGTGGAGTGAAGGTGGGGTATAAAGGGGGAACTGATTACAAGGATCTATATATAACCTCCTCCCTGGGTGAAAGGAGACATCGGACAGTGTAAGATATGACAAAATAATAATAATTTATAAATTATCAAGGGGTAATGACTGGGGGGGAACTGAGGGGAAAAATGAGGAGCTGATACCAGGGGCTCAAGTAGAAACAAATGTTTTGAGAATGATGATAGCAACAAAGGCACAAATGTGCTTGACACAATGGATGGATGTATGGATTATGATAAGCATTGTATGAGCCCCCAATAAAAAGATTTTTTTTTAAAGGAGAGAGAACAGCCTTAAAATTCTTTCTCTAACTTAATTGAAATCCTAGAAGCCTCACAGGTCACTTATACTATATCAAATAGATGAAACTGATACATAAATCAAGAGATTATGAGAAAAATACATTATCTTCTGTAATGCATCAGCCTTTGTCTAGCTTTAATATTTTAATTTTAAAAGCAAGGGATACAGAACGACCCCTAATTGAAAAGCACTTATGAGGCAGTTTCTTCTTTTCCTTCTTATTTTTATAAACAATCTTTCTGAGCATTAGGACTTGAGGCATTAAAAATGAGTTAAAATAATTCAGTTAAGTTATACCCTAACAAGGCCAAATATTAAGGATCTTATTAAAATAACAAACTTATGCTTTTAATGTTTTCTTCTACATTCTTGTTTGATTGACATGTTGGCTCAGGTTCAAGAATAATGAAAGAAGTGAAAGGGTAGAACACTGGTGTTGCTTATCTCTTTTGTGTGTGTGGTTTAATTTGAATGAGAAGGAAGTTGGAAAAGAATAGTTTTAGAGTTTTGCCAAACATAAAAGATGGTATTTAAAAAGTGATTCTGAGTCTGTAGTAAGATAAGCAATGATCTATTATCATCAAAAGTTCTAAAACAGCTATGCCGTTAAAGCAGCGGTTCTCAACCTGTGGGTCGCGACCCCTTTGGGGGTCAAACGACCCTTTCACAGGGATGGCCCTATTCACAACAGTAGCAAAATGACAGTGACGAAGTAGCAAGGAAAATAATTTTATGGTTGGGGTGTCACCACAAGATGAGGAACTGTGAAAGGGTGGCGGCATCAGGAAGATTGAGAACCACTGCCTTCAGGAAGAGTGTAAGGGAATGAGGCTGTGATAGGGAACAGCGTTGGTTAGAAGCCAAGATGCTTGAGTCCCTGCTGAACAAATCTAGCCCCAGTGTTGACCAAGTCACTTCTTAACTTGGAGTGCAGGCTACACCACGAGCCACGGACCTGCTCGCTCAAGCGGATGCTGACTTCCAGTGGTCCTCTAGGAGTAGGGCTATCCCAAACGGATATTTATGGCAGTTGACAACCACATCTTTCTCCCATGAAGCGGTTGTTGGCTTTGAACTGTCACCTTCTGCTTAGCAGCCTCGTGTTTTCACCACAGCACCTTAGAGGCTCCCATCGAGGGCCAGGAGCAGAGGCTGTGAAGAGACTTCGGTGACAGCCCACGCATCCTACACTCATTTCCAGAACTTCATCCCACACATACACCATAATCCATTGAGTTCAGGGACCGCTAACTTTAGTAGAAGAGGTACCATTATTTTCCATGGCACTGAAAAAGAAAAACTGCTTCAAATCCATTATGATATTTTATCATTGTAAGATGCAACCCAATTTCAGAGTGTGAAAAAAAATCTGCATCTTAGAATTCAGAAAACCTGCGTAATTAAGCACTTTCTCTGTAACAGGGAGTGAGTATAGCACTGAGTGGAGCCTGGGTGGCAAGACGTGGGGAGCTTAAGGGGTTGAGCCCAAGTGCCTACAGCTGGAAGAGCGGGAAGCCTGATCTCATTCCAAGCTCAGTGCTCCCTCACTCGCGATCAGCGCCTGCTTTCGGAATACATCATTTATGCCTTCAGTTGAAAAACGACTCTTCATGATGTTCAATGTCTTGTTTGTTTGTGGTTAGTCACATTTATAAATGCATTCAGGGACAACATCTTGAAACACAAGATAGTATTTAGTATATGTAAATATGTATAAAGCCATATATTAATATCTGCTATTGATTTCCAAAGTAATATTTTCAAGGTAAATTTTAATTGAAGAGCAAAAAAACTCAGTTCCTGTCACTGTGTTTTACTTGAGTATTCTTCTAATCCATGAAGATTGATTTCTGAGTACCAGAAATGTGAAAGAGAAATATAAGATAGGGATTTAGGATCCAAGTCAGAGTCCTGGGCAGGAATAGGAGTTCCTTAACTAGAGCCAGGAAGTCATAGCACACAACGAATACAATAGTGCCTCAAACCAGCTGGTGAGACATCAGCTACATGGTAACTGAAATATTAGGATGCGGCACTGAGGGTCAGTCAAAATTCAAATAGAGATAGCAAGCAGTGCTGATCCAAACACCGGGACCCTTGAGAAGCCCAGCGCTGAACTGAGAAAAAAACACGCAGCAGTCATTTGTATCATCTAAGGAAAAATAACCAGGCGCTGGCCAGGTAAGTGAAACGCACGGATGGACCCCAGGTTCCACTGACCGCATTATTTCAGACTGTCAGCCAGGCTGTGTGCTAATTATTGTGGTCCAGTGTCACTGGCCGGCTTTCTTCCCACTGCACAAGGGAGTGCAAGAAGGAGCTCATTATGGGGTGAACAGATAAAATAATTCTTATTCTAGCATCATCTAAAAATCATACAAAGATGTGTCGAACCCTCTTAAAAGAAGATATCTTAGATTTGGATTTAATAATGTAGAACATGCTCAAGAAGAGATCAGGCTCTCTACCCCAGGTCCTCTCTCCCAAGCGTATAGACTTTATTACCCAAATCAGAAGCCCGCCACCAAGTTTTCAATCTCTACAAGTCAGGAGCCGGCGAGAGACGGAGGTGAGGGTAATTAAAGGAGACAAGGTATACAGGAAAAAAAGGATTTGAATTTCTCGAGCTGAAATAACTCGCATATCTTTATCTACATTTAGACTTGTTAAATTTCCATACCAACAATCCTCCTCCCGCCTCAGTAGTTATTAGTGCTGCTATTTGAACTTTCATTGTTATGGCCTAGATTCTTTAGCAAAAATTACTCTGATGCTTGAAAACTGTAATTATTCATATTTTTGTGTTTCCTAAATATTTTTAAATGACTTCTAGGTAACGTTGAGAATATCCAACATTCTGAGTCCTCCTGTGTGGCTGTAAAATGTGTTTCTGTACTCTACAAGGGACGGGTCAGGGGTTCTGAACTTGCTTAGGCATGGTGAACATCACAGTGATCCATTATATTAAGGATAAAAATCATTTGTCACACAAATAAAAAACTCAACCTACCTCGTGAAGCCGGAGGTCTTTCTCATAAACAAGCTTTTTGACAAAAGCAGCTACAAATACCACCCAGGCAACCATGAGCACAATGGGGAAAGAATAGGAGACACTGGTTAGGAAGCTGCAGAAACAAAAACAGAAAACAAACATCAGGTGACTAAAGGAGAGGTACGCCCTGCAGACTGCAAACCACCCAGGGCACACTCTCTACACGGAAATCAGATTCCTGATGGGAAATTGAGAGTGACCATGAACATGACCTTAGGACTTGTTAGAAGGCGCCCCGGTGGCGTAGCGGGTCACACATTGGGCTGCTAACTGGGAAGCCGGCACTTTGAACCCACCAGGAGCACCAGGAGGCTCGCTACTTGGAAATCCACTGGGTTGCGATGAGTCAGAATTGACTTGTGGGCGGTGAGTTTGGCTTGCTTTGGCGTGAGTACTTGTTAAGCACAGAGCCCTGGGTGGTGCCACGGTTAAAGTGCGTGGCTGCAAACTGAAAGAAAGATCCTGGCTTCCAACCCACCATCCACTCAGTGGGAGAAAAATGCAGTGTCTGTTCCATTGAAGCTGGCTTCCCGTCCAGGAATTCCTGCGGGGCGGGTCTGTTCTGTCCCGCAGGGTCGATGCGCATCCGTACAGACTCGGTAGCAGAGAGATTACTTTGTTTTTCCTCTGCTTTTTTTCTGTATTAATTGTGATGCTGCCTTAATAATAGGCCAATGGTTATCTTGCTGTCATGCAGCAAGAATGAGGAAAAATAGCGCTGCATTGTTAGGTAAATTTGCCAAATAAGTGTGTTTGAGTATGTCCCACCCATGAAAATAATTATTATAGCGATATAATTGCAAGGCTCAAAACCCTTTTGTTTAAACCAAATTGTTATCCAAAAGGCATATTTAAAATGAGATGGTGACTGGTGTATCTGGTTAAAAGCGGTATCTTCCCAAATTACTGTATTTATCTACTCTTTGGAAGCGCACAGTTACGATTACACTCTATGTCTCAAAATGAAATAAAGCAAAAGGCAAAGCATTCCATTAAAAAAAAAAAAAACCCACCAAGATAAAGAACTTGGATTCCACCAAGAAATGCCCAGGGAGATGTGACATGATAATGTAGAAATGCCTTTTATGACGTTTGGAATGCAATTCGACTGGAGAGTTTCTAGAAGACCTTATCAAACTCCATAAACATTATCCGTGGTAGAACGCAATGCCTGGAAGTTCAACCACATTGGTTCTCAAAACGGGCCGTATGTCAGAACCCACCTGAAGGGAATGAGTGAAGCAATACTTTTGGGTCCCACCCAGGAACTTGTGATATCAGAGGCGGGGCCAGGTTATTTGAATTTCTAACAACTTCCGTGTGATGCTGACGCTGCTGGGTCAGGGATCCCACTTGGAGGGAGAAGCATGGTTCTGCTACTTGCTGCCCTCCTCTGCACTGTGGTTTTCAAAGACAGAAACTCCGAGTTGCTTTCTTCTACATATTGGGCTCCAGTGAAGCTTTCACTTAGTGAAAGGGCCTGAGGCCACATCTGATTGCTGCAAACTGAACTCAGAGCCATAGGAGCCCTGTTAGAGAGAGGACAACTGCCCCGGAGCTTCTGAAAGAACAGGAGGTGCTTCTGAATCATGGGTCTTTTGGTGAGCAGCCAAGTATGTAACCACCGTGCACCCAGAGCTGCTTCTTTAATCCGTAAGACTAAGGAATGACCTCCGCGTTCCCGAGAAGAAGGCATATATTAATGGGAACATGACATCACTATTGTCCATTAGTGCCTTGTCATCTAGCATTTCATCACCTTCAGAGATATGAGGTTTTCTTTCCTTTTGGGGGGAGGAAGTGTGAGGTCATATCAAGTAACTGGGTTCCTGAGAGATTGCCTGACATAGGGTAAGCACGTAAAGACTATTTGCTGAAAGACTTTTGGCCTCAGCCAGGACTAGCTTTGGTATTGTTTCTGAATCTTCGATGAGGCAATGCCTCTCAGTCATGAAGAGCAAATGCCCTGTAGTCTTTCTTCCAAAAGTTATGTGCTTTAGGATGGGTGTGTTCTAAAGGAGAAATACTAGTCATGCAGTAAAACCTCGGGCAAGTTACTTGATATTTTTGAATTTCAGGTATTTTCACCTGGAACAGATGGATCATCACACCTGTTGCCACTCACCGTGTACGGCATTGGTGGAACAAATGGAATAACAGGTGGAAGGACGGAGAGTGTGACGGAGTATGTGATGAAGGCAGCATGGCCAAGCTCTTCTCTAGACTGCAGAGTACAGTTACTTGCATTCTTTGCTCCAGTTGCCCACCAGGTTCTCACTGCCATCGAGTCGATTCCAACGACTCATAACAACCCTCCAGAATAGAGAGGAACTGCCCCTGTGGGTCTCCAAGACTGTAACTCTCTACCAGGGTAGAAAGTCTTGTCATTCCCCCATAGGGAAGCTGGTGACTTTGAACTGCTGGACTTGCCATTAGCAGTGCAAGGCGTAACTACTCCGGCACCAGGACTCCTACCCATCACGTTAGGTATCAAAATTCACATGGTGAGAAAGCATGAGCAGGCAAAGAGACCAGAATTTTAATTTACTCAAACCCATAGCTCTTGATTATTCAAGCAAGCCTTTGCAATTTATACATAGCTCAGGCAAAGTCTCCGGAAGAGGCAGGTAGCCAGGAAGACGCATTCAGAGTCTTCCAGTGATTCTTAACCTGTGGGCCGTGACTCCTTTGGGGGTCGAACGACCCTTTCACAGGGGTTGCCCGATTCATAACAGTAGCAAAATTACAGTTATGAAGTAGCAAGGAAAATAATTGTATGGTTGGGGGGTCACCACCATATGAGGAACTGTATGAAAGGGTCATAGCATTAGGAATGTCGAGAACCACTGTGCCCAGTCCCTCAGATCATTGTAACTCAATGGTTTGCAACCACATCTCACCTGCAGCCCAGCCAGTGGGACAGACACTGACAGAAAGAAAGAGGAAAGAAAAAACCACCAGACCTATCTGAACTGTGTATAAGCGACAATAACTGGGTGGATGACAAGTACGTCTTTTTCTATTCATTTAGCAAAACGGTTATAAAGGAGATTCCTAGTGAACCATCTGGCAGAACATAAAAAATCCTTTCAGATAGCATAGTATTTATCTTAGAGAGAGAGCTCATCAGTGATGTGCTCATGATGCCATCTATTTTTCTAAATTAAAAAAAAAAGTTGAACAGGCACTCACAGATTTTTACTGAATTTGGGAGTGGAAATGGTTTTAGGATTATCTTATGCAGCTACCTCTGAATAAAAAATACAAAGAAGTAAGTTCATGAGAGAAATGGTAACATCACAAGTCATCAATGCTGGACTTGGGGCTGGAGCCTAGTTATCTGAATGCTGGGTCAAAGTTCTTGGAGAAGGTCACGATCGGGGAAACACAAATGATCTGCTGGACACTTTACTACCATTCTCATCACCGGGACGAGCTCCAGTGCACCTGGGCCACAGAGTGGGCACAATTTCCAGGAAGCAAACCCACGACCAAGTGCGGGATGACATGATCCCTTTACTTCCTGCATTTTCTGAGAGAGCAGAAGTGAGTTGTCAAAAGCAAAGCGGTTCATCATGAACAAGGGCTGAAGATGCGTAGACTTACTTGTCCTTCAGGTAGCAGGGGTAAGGAATTGCTTGGACCTGGACTGCTATGTCCTGGGAGTTCCTTCCAGTCTGCAATTCGATAATGGCTCGTTCAATACTGTCCTGTAAGTAAATAAAGGCCCTGCCATAGATCTGGTTGTGGGATGGCGAATTGTGTGGTCCTGGGGCCCAAATCTTGGTTCTTATGCTTCTCGTCGTCTGTGCCGTCTTGAGACTCATGCGGATAGTATAGTTTACAACCGGAGGAAGAGGGCCCTTTTCAGAGGCAAAGCCTTTCTCCTGTCTTCTTTCAGAAGGAAGGTTAAAAATAACACCTAAAAGTAGAATGGCAACAACAGGAGAAAGGTTATGTTAGGGTTGACGTTCCTCATTGCCTTGAGGGTGCATATAGGGGGCAGCCAAACAGTCCATTGAGTTAGCAATGTGACAGAAGGTTCAGGCTCCAAATTTATAGTAAAGACAGTTAATAGGAAGACAACCTCAGAGATTCAAAGCCACAGTTTGAGATGATAATCACAAACTAAGTGGCCAGACAGAATACATCACTCTGGGCCACTTACGGAAATTAAAAGGCGATCGGGAGCACTTCTAAATGAATCATCTTGACTAATTATGGGGATGGACTCAACTTCACCCTCAAATTATGTAGTCCTTTTCTTTATTAATTTTAAAGACACCATCCAAATTGGACCTCTGTTAAAGGGTTCTCGGGAGAGATGGTGGGCTGGACTACATGATAGGGTCTCCTGTCCACCTACATCGGAGGGGCCAGTGACCTACCGACTACTCCGTGAGAGTTCGGGTTGAGAGAGGTGAAGGCAGAATTTGGCCAATTTTAGTACAAAGAAGCAGCTCAAAGCCTAGTAGACTAGCACTCACTTCCAAAGAGTTCATTGCTTTTGTAGAGCCTTTCAGCTTCACGCTCCATTTCTTCCACGGTGCTTGCTGCCTGAATGCGGTCATACAATACACAGGAGGAAATATTTACTGTCAGGGAAGACAGTGTGTTAAGATGGTCAATGATGTCCATGTGGTTCTCTAAGGTCAGCCTCAGGTTGTCTAAACAAGTGGAGCAGATCAGACAGGGAAAACGGATTATAGCCTCCATTTGGGGAATCATGAGAGAAAATCCTGCCTTTGGGGTGAATATTAAACATTAAACTAGGTGATCAGCAATAGAAAGCTGTAGCACTTACTCTAAAAACATTCAGGATTCAACATCTAGGCATATCAGACTACTTGACAAATATTTATTGAAAAGCATGGTGCATTAGTTGCCAAAGCAGGAACCCAGGTTCAAAGAAAGGGACATCATTTAAAAGTACATTTTGCTACAATTTAATTAACCAATGACGAAGGATGAAGACTTTGGGAGTGGGGAAAAGTCTGTGTTCACGTATTGGAAAGAAAACTATAGAGACGAACGTTTCAGACAAACGAAACACAAATGTCTGCTGTGCCCATGAAATGTGGATGTAAGATTTAAGCAAAGGAGAATCTATTCTATAAAGTGTATAGAATGAATAAACTATGTCAATTGATAAGCTATGAAAAAGAGTATTTCTTAAGGGACTGTGAGAATCGATGCCACGTAGCTACAACTTTTTAATATTGTTTGATTTAAAACCTGTGTGCATTGCCTCTATCAGTGTCTGTATTAACCAACACCAAATGATCAAAATGTTCTTTTAGGCAATTAGTCCGGAAGAAAGAGGATATAATTGAACTTCACTTTCGCGATTCCTTGTGAGAAAATCAACGGAGACAAAGGGTAAGTATGAAATTACAAGTTAATAAATCATTTGGCCAATTAAATTTTCACCAAGACTTGATCATCGTGAATCTGGAGCAGGCAGCGGGTATCACAAATCCTTCCTCCCAGGACCGAAACATGTTTCTTACATCGTCCAAAATAAGACTACATTTTTTTCACAGAGGGCAACTTCTTAAATGCATTTCTCATTAGAATTTAAAGTGAAATGTTTTGCTTGATTTAGAGATTGGTGAGGGGGAGGGGTAAACTTGTGGCTGAACAGCGGCCTCCAGCGGCCACTGGTAATCAACACATCACAAAAGGATTCTAGAACTACTGGTAAGAATCCAGAACAAGAGCTGCGGCGGGTGGGGGGCGGGGTGGGGGGTGGCGTGTAAAGGGGTAGGGATGTTAGTGCCCCCCTCCCCCTCCCGAGTCTGAACCATAACCTCTTAGCTACTAAGTTACATAGAGAGTAATACAAACTTCAGTCTCATTGCTATATTAATTTTAATCTCACTTCAAAGTCTAAATCTTGGGACCTATTTTTTTAATTAGGAATATAATCATTTATAGAAACCCTTTGAATATATCCCTGCTATTTTGGTCAAATGACTCCTTACTCAGATGATATTTGTGAGGCGGGGAGGGAGAATAAATCCAATTAAAAATTGCTTGGTAAAACTGGATTGACTATCATCAAATGTGTACAGTGATATGATTTACAACTTTAGGTATAAGATTATAATGTTATACTTCATCCCCACTGGTTTACGACCTAAGTCATCTATGTCCCAGGCACTTCCTAGGAGGAGGAAGGCCATTTGTTCTGCTGATGCCCAAACTTGATGCTCTCAATCCCTTCTTCGGACTTGTTGCATAGCAACAGTGATTAGCCATTGACTGTATCAGACGACTAGCATCTATTAGGTTGGCAGGTGGGGGCGTGGTAGAGCGAATGCCTGCAGACGGCTTCCTGTGATCCTCCTCAGTCTGGTCCTTCTTCAATGACCTGCAGAGGAGGCCCCAACCTGGAATCCTGATTTAGGTTTTTAGGTTTAGTTTCTTTTGCACTCGGCATGGCCTTGCTTGAGCAAACTCTGTCACCTCTTCCAATTATAGGTTGGGCTTGTCAAAATGAAACCAAAGTGACGTGATGTTAAATGTAGCCAGAAATAAAACCATTTCATCTTTCCTTGTTCGGAAGGACTTGATTTTCATCAATTACCACATGGGAACAGAAAAGTATCCTTACATCTTGGCTGCCTAATCACCTCCCAGTGGTGGAAGGGCACGCTGCATTTATTTGGATTATAGTATTGCATTGTTAGTTAAAAACTAACTGCAACCTGCTGGGAGCCTTGGTGGTGTAGGGGTTCTGCATGCAGTAGATGGCCAACTGCAAGGTCAGCAGTTTGAAATCACCAGCTGCTCCTCAGGAGAAAGTTAAGGCTGTCAACTCCTGTAAAAGTGACAATCTTTGACACCCACGGTGCTTTGCCCCATCCTATAGGATCGCCATGAGTCAGAATTGATTCAGTGGCAGTGAGATGAGACAGTGAACGAGACATTGACTATTTGAGCATTCAAATAACCATTGCTACTTACAAGAGCACAACCAAATAGGAAAAAGGATGGCTATGAGGTTTAACTTTTCTGAGATTAACTAGCCAGAAACAAAATACTGAAGGAAAAGGGGAGGGAAGTTCTAATATAGAGGTGCTAGTGACGTTTCCCCATTTCTGACATGATTCCTGAATGAATGGTTCTGTGCACCTGGACTCACCAAGGTCATCTATTTGCTTTAATAGTTCAACAGCATCGAGTCCCACGGAGAATTTTATAAAAACTTGCACAAAGGGATTCCTTAGAGTATTCTAAAAAATAATAAGAGGAGATTAGTTTTGATGCAAAAAGAAAGCATGCTTAGTCATCGTCTCCCTCATGACATCCACCGTGGAATGAAGTAAAGGCTACTGGGCATAAAGATGCATCCTATTGCAAAGGCCCCCAAGTGAGTCCCTGAGCAGGACAGGAAAGGTGTGTGGCTGGTAATGACGCATGAGATGGGAGCTTTACTATCGACATACAAATTGAACAGCAGGTTAAAGTGACCCTTCAGACCGTCATTGTCAACACTTGAAACGTACTCCATCCGATACCCCTTTCCTCATTATTATTAATTATAGCATTTCTTTTTAACACATGCTATACACAAAAGCACTGTTAGCATAGCGGGTTACCTGTTCACCTCCTACGGGAAAGGTCGGCAGTTCAAAACCACCAGGTGCTCCACAGGAGATAGATAAGGCAGTGTGTTCCCCAAAGATTTACACCTCAGAGACCCACAGGGGCAGTTCTATTCTGCTCTATAGGGTGGCTATGACCTGGAATTAACTTGATGGACGTGAGTGCTTTCTCTCATTTTTAATTCACAATTGTGGTGATTCATAGTTCTGTTCACTTGAAACAAAGGAAAACAGCGTTTAAAGAATGCAATGCCCACATGGAATTTGACATGGGGACTAGTTTTCTATTCTACTAGTTTCCATTCTACCACTTCTAAGCTGGGAAGATTTCTGGAAGCCTCTAGCCTTTCCCAGTTTGAGTGTACTTTTCGTCAAAGTAGGGACGAGTGAGTCATTTCATCAGAATGCTCAAATATAAATGACTGTAGTTTCATCTCAGGAGAGAGGCAAGGATGTCTACTCCCCAGAGACGTCCAGTCTTGGAAAGGCATAGAGGCAGTTCTACCCTGTCCTGTGGGGCCGCTATGAGTTAACTCCACGGCAGTGAGAATCGTCTAATGCCCCAATCCGTGCAAATATGAGAAAATAAATGGATAATGACACCGTAGGTGTCTCTAGGTCTATAGAATGACCAAAAGTGCTTTAAAAACAAGTGCACACCTACTTCTCACTTGGTGACAAGGTCATCATCTGACATTTCACAGTTATGCCAACTGTAAAAACTCTTCCATCTGACTATTTTGTCCATTGACACCATGCGGCTCAGCAATGGATGCCACGGTGGCACAGAAATAATACTGGCTGTTACGGTTACACGAATCCCTTTTGATTCTCAGTGGTTTGTTGGCTCTGTACCGATGTTCTTTGGCAAATACGCAGTGGCACCGTCACGGTCTATTTGGTGATCTCATGTGGCCATCCTCCATTTTTTCTATAACACTGGCTTTTCACATAATGATCTGGTCTTTGGAATCTAACCAGATCAATAAGTGAGGAGTGGGAGTATTTGCCAAAAATATAACGACACTTACTATCATTCCCCTGGGGAGATGTAGCCTCTACCAGTACAGGAGTAGTACTGCTATCTAATGTGGACTGAGCTCTTAGCATGTGTTACATAGTTATATATAGGGCACTGTCTTACTTCGTTTCCAACATTTTCTCACTTCGTTTTCAACATTATCTCAAAGTAAGACTCTTCTTCTATTTTATTAATGGATGCCAGAGCTGGAACAACGACAACATCTTATGTCAAGTCACAGACGACTGCACAAGTAGTAAGGATCAAAGGTGTATTTTAAAGGATCAAAGGTGTGTTTTAAAGGATCCTTAGTGGTGTTGTGGCTACTCATTGGGCCACATGCTGCACGGTCGCAGGTCGAACCCACCAGGTTCGAGACCACTCCTGTCTCTGCAGGAGACAGATGGGGCTTTCTGCCTCTGTAAACAGGTACGGTCTCAGAGACTCAAATGGACCGTTGTGTTCTAACCTGTCCCAGGGGGTCAAGATGGGTGGATGTTCACTCAATGGCAGTACGGGTTTGAAGGAAGAGGCAGCTGGAAGCTGAGCTCTCAACCGGACTAAAGACAGACGTGTTCATCTCCCGAGTTCATGGTCTTGTCTTGGTATGAACTCAGGTTACTTGGCTATTTCCCATGAGTATCACTTAATAGTTTGTCCTTCTCACCAGCATTTTCTGCTTTGTTAACATGAAGACAGATGACTAAGAGGAATATATATTGTTAAGAGGCATATGTAGTAGAGTTAATTTTTAAAATCTGCATCTGCTGAGAAACCGATGAGGACCGGGCAGCGTATTGACAGGTGCCTGTCACACAGCTACACACGGTGATAACCTGAGTCCTTTAAAATACATATGTTTGTTTACCAGGAGTTAGCATGTACATCAGGAAACCAGGGTGTTCCAAACTCAATGTCATAGTGTCGATGCTGACTCCTAGTGACGCTATAGGTCAGGGTAGAACTGCCCCTGTGAGTTTCTGAGGCTGTCACCGTCTATGGGGGTAGAAAGCCCTGTCTTTCTCCCAAGGAGCAGTTGGTGGTTTTGAACTGCTGACCTTAAGATTAGCAGCGCAACAAGCAACCCTATGCAGGAACATCTGTGGTTTTGAAGTAACAGCTCCGGGGTGGTTGGAACCAGAGTGGAAAAACTACCATCACAGCCATTCCATCAAACCCTATCTCCATTCTACCCTCACAAATCTGCAAAGTAATTATCAGTATATCCATTTTAGAGATTCATAGACTATAGCTCCGATACTTTAAGTTATTTGTCTAAGAATTCCAAGTAGCAAGAAGAGGGCTTGGATTCAAGTTTTGACATTTCACATTCTCTGCATGTTTGCAGAAGTAATATTCCCTCAGAACTTGAGGATGATAGTTCATTTTGATCTCGAACCGAAGGAAGATACATCAACTAGTTGATGATCCCGTTACCAACATGGTCAGGGACTTTCTTCTTAGCAAATTATTTGTACTTTGAAACTATTATGCATGGACCACAGTCTTTCTTAATTAATCATATTAGCTAACAGATATTTCCTTAATGAAATAATTTGTTTTTGCTTGTTTTGTTTTTTCTGGGCACAGAAAAAAATCAGCATAAAATAATAGTCTCCCACTTAGAAAAGTATAGAAGTCAATAAAATCCTACTCACAGACTCACTAGGAAGAAGAAAACCCTGAAAAATGAACACCAATAATATCAAAAACAACACTGAACTGTAAATTATGGGGAATGTGGTTGATGAGAAGTTTACTTCATTTCATACTTACTAAAATGATTACCTTAGACATTTATTTTATTTACCTACCCACTAAATTTTAGTCGGGATAAATAATTCCATAATTCTTTGGTGTTCTGAGAAGGTTGGTATTTGATAATACATATGTCATGTTTCACCCAAGGGACCCCCTAGGGATAAGGGTCCTTCCCCAGAATATCACTGATTTAGAATTGTGATTGAGTTACCATAGAAAAACAAAACAAAAACAAAGCAACTGACTCCACTGTTTAGAGGGGAGAAGTGAAATAAGCACAGTTTCAAACTGTTTCGTGAGAGCAGTTTACTTGTCTCAGAGATTCTCCTGACACATTTTCTCTCAAGAGCGGCTGTAGACTGATCCCTGAATGACAGAGGAGCTGTGGTCCCCAGGTGAGGAAGGCGCCCACAGAGCAGCAGGTCTGCTCTCCTGCCCCAGCCCTGGTCTCTGGGAGAAGGTCATTTTAACCTGTTGGGCTTGTATTCATAGTTAGCATCTACCAGGTCACACGGGGGAGGCACTGAAATCTCCCATAATTATAATTCCAAGAACGACAGAATCATCTCACACCTGGAGCATCGGAATCGTCTGGTTCAGCAGGTGGAAAGAATTCATGAAAAATGGTGACTTCTCCATCCACTCTTGAGATTTCTCCCTTAATTCCGCCAGCTGCCTCAGAGTTACATTAGACTTAAAGGACAAAAACACAAAACAGGTTGGTTAGCATTTTTTCTATATTTCAAAAAGGTATGTTAAGGTTGCTTTGTTACCAAATTTTAGAAAGTAGCTCTAACAGATAGAGTCAGTTAAAGAAAAGAATTGTCAGAATGTCCCCACATGGTCAAACTTTCAAATGGCACTGAAGACGGCTTCATGTCCACAGGGAATTGACAGGCAAAAGGAAAGCATGCTTTTGGTGTTTTCACTCGTTACTCATTATTACCAGCTACCCTTCACTTCCCTACTTTAGAAACAGCCTCCTTCAAAGCCATGGGGAGGAGAAAACTCCCAGGCACTGCTAGTTGTAGTGGATGTGTGGCACCCTTTTTGGAAAGCAATCTGGCAACAGACATCAAAAGAAAATACAATATCTCCAATCCTGGATACCCATCTCATTAAGAAAAAGACCACATGCCCAAGAGAAAGGGGGGTCAAGTTGTTTAGATGGGCAAAAAGCAAACCTGGAGACCAAATGAATGCCCAACAACTGAGAAGTGACGAAATGAAGTTCATGCTATGAAAAAACACAACAAAAAAGCAACCTTTAAAGAGAATAAGTAAACCATAACGATAGAGCTGGCTGAATTTTCATGTCATAGTGCGGTTTGAGAAAAATGATACTTAGAAAAGCATTATCGTATAATCCCACTTTTGAAATTCAAGCAATGACCAAAGACCTCGGCATTAGAATGTGTCTGCAGTAGAGTATCTATAAGGAAATGAGGGGGTGGAGACATGATACAAAAATACACTCTTAAAGGTCCACTTGCATTCATTTGCATGAAAAGTGGCATCAAGACCGGGTGGGGTGATGGACGGAAATTGAATACCCAATGGAAGATAAAAGGAGAAGGAAGAAGAGACCGTTTCAATAATGGGCATAGGTAAGACGTCACCTGTGCAGGATCAGTAGATGTGTTTAGTCAGCACTACAAATCAAGTGTAAAAGCACAAAGCATACAAACAAAGAATATTCTAGAGTTGCTGGTAATCTCCTATGTAGTGTTACAGAGACCTAAAATAATGCTATAGTCATGTAAACTGTAATTTAGAGACCAAGTAATGGTAAAAATCCACCACATGGATCTGTTTGCACTTCATTTCTCATTTTAAAAGTATTACATTGAATAATTCAAAGCACTAAAATCAATTTAAAAAGTGAGAGGAAAATGCTACCATGGCTAAATTAGGAAGATAATAAGGATAGCTATTATTAATAATGTTGTCTTTCTCTACCTCTATCCTCTATATAAACATTAGCTATTAAAATGTTCAGCCAAATATGAAGCCAAGAATCCACACTGCAGGGATTGCTTTAATTAAAACTAGTTATATAATGCCGCAACATGGTTTTCTCTAGGGATATTATTTTTAAATACTCTTAGACATGGGTTATAGTTATGGGGTTTGTTTGTTTTTTTAAATTTTTTTTGAAATAAAGAATCTGAGCTCTTGCCCCAAGCTAATCTCATCCTCAATTGTCAAAATGATTCATTTCTCTTGAAAATGACTTCCTTGCTACCTTCCAACTATATCGTTTTTTACATATGCATCCAGAGGAAAGTTAAGAATGGTAAAGAGTTTCAGAAAGCCAGGGGTTGATTATATTAAAGTCATTTTAATCCTCAAAATAGGAACTTTGAGTTTTAATAGTCAAACCTTTTCCATGATTGCTTTTGTGACTGGGGTGTCCGGTGCATACAGAATCCTTCCCAACAACATAGGTTTCAAGAAAGCCCATATCACAGGTCCAGCAGGCATGTTAATGATATCTTTGTAAAGCGAGAAGCAAAAGGAGGCTGAAAGGGAAAAAAAGTGACATGAAGCTATTTAATGTGTGCATTTCAAATGTACATGCCTCGGTGAATGGGCATGGGTTATTAATATCACACGCTGAAATGCTGGCTTGGCACTTCCCTTACTATCAACAGATGGGAAGCACAGAACATCAAAGTGAAACAATAGAGTAACAAATTCTTTCTTAGGTGTGAACATTTAAGCAAATAAGCAAGCTGGGAATACGTGATGGCATTTTGCCAAGAGGAGATAGATTGAAACTACATTTCAGAATTGCTTTCAACAGATTATGGGGATAGGATCTAGTACATAACAGTGCTCCATACATGTTTGTGGAGTGATTATTTTTTTCTAAATAAGTCAATCCAACCGCTACACAGAATACCTATGGTATATATTATTTAGAAGGAGCTCAATTGATTAGACTATCCATCTCAAAGTTTGTAGCTCAAGAAACAGCTTTGATGTACCACTCAATATTTACATTTCTGTTGTTTTCAAGAAGTTCTCCCATGTGTTATATACATTTATAATTGTAAAATACTTCTACCAAATCATATGCAAGGTGTGTTTTTGAATTATCTACCGGCAAGCAGGTCTGGTTATGTATGGGTTAACAATTCTAAGTTTATTGTCATGGTGAGGAGGATAAACTTTTCAATGGAATCTGTGCTTCAAATCATAGTCCTGATACTTCCAAATGACTAGACCTTGGCCGGGGAACTCAGCTTCAATTCCCATCCTGTGAGATGGTGAGATTATAGCTTTTCCCTCAGAAGGCTGGTGTGAAGGGCAAGACAATATATTAACAAATTAGAACATGCTGCCCATGTGGTATGTGCTGCATAAGTGTTTCCTAGTCCTCTCCCCCACCCCTTGGGAAAATAAGCGCCTCACTGATTAAATGAGAAAGTATTTGTGTAACAGGCAGTGCTGCTAAGTAACATCATTTATGGCTCTTTAGACGCCTACTCACTGGTGTTTAAGGGAATTCGGTATTTTGAAGCGATTTGCTCTTTAGTCAATTTATAAGTCAAAAAATCCTTCGTATGGTTGCCTTTTGGCTTCTGTGAAGAGGGCAGCATGGCGATTAAGTATTCCGTGGTAATTCCTTCGGAGCACAGTGCTTGCGAGATGGTACTAAAGGACCCTTGGGGCGTGCTCATTCGCTTGCTCCGGTCCATTACCTGTGAGCGAAAAAGCCGTGATTTACTAAGATGATATGCAGAGGCTACTGAAAACAACATATGAAAAAAACTTGGAAATGTGTAGGATAGCTACAATTTTCATAATTTTAAAAAAAAGTGCATCCCACACGTACAGGCAGCGCGGGAAAACTTCACCAACTTAAGTGGCCAATTGGGTTGCCCAACTCTAAGAGTGGGTCTCTCGGTGCCTTTGATGCGCTTCACTAAAGTCGCAGCTATAACTCAGCGAAAGTGACCTTAACTCGAAGCGAGCCCAGCAGATGGAGCCTCCCAAGAAGACCGAGTCAGGGCCCCTGGTCTACCTGAACATAGGGAGCACTCCTGGGAAGGTGCATTTGTTTCAGGGAGCCCATTTTGTTCAGCAGCAAACTGGAGCTGGACATCATCTGATTTAGAATCTCCTTCAGCCTGAGGAAGAGGGCTAGCATCTTTTCTACCGGCTTTTGGTCCTGCCGCGGGAAAAACACCTGATGGAAACAATACAGTGAATGACTTTGTGAAGGAGCCGGGCCCTTTATGCCGGGTGGTGGGGGTGGCAAAAAGGGGTAGTCACTTTGGAAAACATGTTAGCAGTTTATTGAGTTGTGAAACATACAACCCCAAATCCCTTTCCTAGATATCAACCCCCGGAGAAATAAAAACATGTGCCCATTCCAAGATGTGCATGTGAATGTCGAGAGCGACATGATTTGCAATAGCCGGAAGCTGTGTAATCATGCAGATGCATGGATAAAGGACACCTGGGACACGCCTTTGATGGAAGCCCCACTGACACCCAAAGGGAAGTCAAGTGAGGACACTCGCTGCTACACGTGCTACTCTCAAAAACAGTCTGTGCACAGGTGCACAGGTCTGCAAGCGACATGCTTTCCTGTATATGAAGTTCTAGCAAAGGCAAACCCACCCACAGACAATAGATCACAGGCTGCCTGGAGCTCGGGGAAAAGAGTAAGTAGTGACTGCCAATAGACATGAGGTTTCTTTCAGCAGTGACCCAAACACTCTACGATTAAATTACAGTGCTGGTTTCGCAGCTCTGTACATGGGCTAAGAACCACTGGATTGCACACCAGCAAGCATTTTTATGGCATATAGATCATACTTCAATGAAAGTCTCAAAATGATTTTTAAAGCTAGCAAAGCAAAAAGTCAACTACTTTAGTTTTCATGGAGACTATTGCTCAGAAAGCATGTAATATACACCTGAAAATCATCGTGATCCTAAAAGACAGAGGATCACAGACCCCTTGGACTTCCGAGGCTGTAGACCGGTAATGGAAGCAAAATGCTTTCTCCCAAGTAGAGACTGGTGCACTTGAATGGCTGACCAACACACAACCCACTGAAAGTAAGTCACGACGGGTAACTCACCGTGTCACCAGGGCTGTGTCAAAAAGCTCACATGATTTATCAAGATAAATTATTTTAATAGCATAAATATTTTTTGCTGGAGGAAGAAACCTGGGAAACTGTTTTTAAAGTAATTTAACTGTCTCAGTAACTTCTTTATCCAATAGATTTTAAGTACCTACTATGTTGCCTCTGGGAGAAAGACAAGGCTTTCTACTCCTGTGCTGAGTTACAGTCTCGGAAAGCACCGGGGCAGTTCGCTCTTATCCTATTGGTCACTCTTATGAGTTGCAACCACTCAATGGCAATGACTTTGGAGGTTTTTATGTTGCTACCGCCCCATGACTGCTATCCAAGGTTCAGCAGTTGAAACGTGACTTCGACATAGCAGCTGTTCCTTGGGAGAAAAAGCGGGCAGTCTAGTTTCATAAAGATCACAGCTGTGGAAACCCTAGGGGCCAGTTCTACCAGTTGATTTGCTGTGGATTGGAACAGAGTGGATGGCAATAGGTTTGGTTTACTAGATGGCCAGCACTGGGCATGCTATGGTGTCAAACAGGAACATCCCCCCTGCACTTTCAGAGTTTCCATCGAACGGGACGTCCAACTTGTAAGTTAAGGACACAAGCTTTGGGAAGTCCAGAGGATGGGGAGAATTTAGGGAAGACAGGAAAGGATGTCTCTCCATTGTGGGGTTAGATTGAATGGGAAAGAATGAGCCCTGGGAAGAATCAGGAGAGGCCGGCTTCAGGCAGAGAGGGAAACACGTGTGAGGTTTGAGGAGGAGAAGCACCTGATCACTTCAAGGTCAAAGACACCACTGTGAGCACATGACTCAGCTAAAAAGGGGGCCTGGACACATCGCCCCTCACATGTAGACCTCGTTCATGGAGACAGACCTGACTTGACAGCGTGGCTGCTAATTTCAATCAGGAATTTATAAATTAGAATTCACGTTTCTATTTTCCTTCTGGTTCTGTAATCTCAGCAGAGCTAGACAGCCAATAGAAATGCATTGGCAGGTGATGAGAAATATTTTCTTTTGTTTGCCATACCTAAAAGAATTATTAGGAAAGGTCATGCTTGGCCAACACCCTGGCTTAATTAGTAGACTCAATAAGAAATATTTACTTCCATCCTGTGGGAGTATTTTAAAATAAAAGTGAAAATGTGAAGGCTTTCACTTCCTATGCATTTGGGGTGATAGTGTTTGTAAGATAATCACGGACTGTCTTAATGGTGGTTGCTACTTTCCACAGTGAGCCAGGTGTTCTTTTAGACATTTGGAATATATTACCAAGCAAAGATGTCAGCTATTGAGCTTACCTAGTATCTGGATATAGAGTGATAATAAACCCGAGGTTTAAGTGAAATATCTGATATGCTGGAATGGGGCTGAAAACAAAGAGAGCAGGACAAGGGTTCGTGGCATCACGGGGAAGGTCACTTGCACTTGAAATAAGATGGTCAGTGTGGGCCTCCTTGAGGGGTCAGGTTTCTGCCAAGAGCAATTGCCATGGTCATTGTGTGAAGGCTGCCTCCTGCCTGAGGTGCATCACAAGCAACTATGAGCCCAGAGAGCGGCCAAGGAAAGAGGAGATTTGAGGGATGAAAAAGAACTGGTGTCCATCATGGTTTTTCTAGGATTTGAGGAATAAAATGGAAAGCTGGTGGAAGGCTTTGAGCAGAAGTATGGCTTCTTGAGGAGAGGGCAAAGGGCAACAGGGGGACACAGGGAGACCCATTAAGATGGCAAAGCAGAATATAGGTGTATGACGAGGATGGTGATTCAGAACAGGGTTGGTTATGACTTTTCCTAAAATATGTTCACACCCATTATTGTAATGTCTCAAGGGCATACAGCAGCTTTGTGGCACTTGAGTGTTTCTTTAAAGGGAGAAGCATGTTTTCAGTATTTTGAACAACATAGTAATATTTTTACCTAAATACATATTTGGATGCACATAGTTGTTATATTGTCCTACATGTGTGTTTCTTCTGAATTGCTCATTAAATAAATACTTATAAAGCATCTACTTGCTGTAAGGTGGAGTCATGGATAACTTTACGAAGAGCAAATAACTACTATTTGTTTGCTTCTTCTGGAAAGTAATGGCATCCCCTATTTAACTAGATAAAAACATGACATTAAAAACCAACCCTCCAAGAAAACAACTGAAGCAGAACAAAACATCCCAAACAAGAAAACACCAACTAAGTCTTCATTGTGTAAAAAACAAAACGTATTCCACGTTTTAATTTCTATCAATCCAAATTAATGCACACTCACTGTAAAAATATTATAACATTTACATTCAGTACCTTAGTATCTATTAAACCTAATTCTCAGTTTTGGACATACAAACAGAGAGCTAGAAAGGCAATCATACCAATTTTCTCACCTATAAAATCAGCAACTGGCAATATATAATCTTTAAGGTCCCATTTCACTCTAAAATAATGCTGTAATTCCAAAAGCTGCATAAATGCATCTCATTCTTTATGTTATCAGAAAGTATGAAGGGACAATCAAATATTTTTTATACTAAGCCCTGAATATAAAAAGATGCCGTCATCAGTCACTTGCCTTGTATGTAAAGTTGTAAATATCTAGGTAGTGCAGAAGGGTGAGCCCGATGAGGTAAGACTGGCGGGATCTCTCTGGAAGAGACAGGTTGCAGAATTCCTTCATCGCATCTTCCAATTTGGGATTGGAGATATTCGCATCACAAGAATGCAACCAGAACACACGCGAAATAATCTGCAAGTTGTACAGAGAAAAATATTTTAGGTTTAGGGTTATCTGTCCATTTTGAGAGGCTTTCTTATACTCTTAGATGGGTTTGTTTTGGTTGTTTGTTTTAAGTATGACACATTATCCTCAAGAACCAAAGACATTTTAACTAAAGCTCTACTACTATTGGTAAAGCGACCGAGAGCCCATATTTCACCAGAATGCTTAAGAAATAAAATGAGAGAACAGAGGAGTAAAGGGGTGGGAATGCCTCCTCTATTTCTTGCTCGAATACCTGGGGTGTTCCCAAGAAGGATAACTGGTTCAGAGTAAGTTTGGGGAAAATATTTGCTTAAGATTCATGCAACCTTAAAATTTTTACTTTTGGTGAATTTAAGTTGCATTGCAATTTAATATTAATTTTAAGTTGTAATGCCATACAATGATCTCTGTGAATCCAGTGATAAAAGGAAGAAGAAGGAAGAGGCCAGGGAACATTCCCAACAATAGTGTGACTCTGTCAGTCTTGGAGAGGAATGTTCACATGGAAAATGAGGTGTCGATCTGGGGGCAAGACATCATTCCTGTTGTCATCGAGGTGAAATAAGAAGAAAAGAGTATGAAGTTATAAATATACACTCTTCTTTTACATGTTCTTACTTATCAAAAGAAACCCTGCTCATCAGAAGTCAAAAAACCATGATTGACAAAAGTAGCTCTAAGGATCAGATGAGGAAAAAAGCAGAGATCCAAGGCAAATGGTGAATGAGTGTTGTTTGCTGGAATAAGAGGCAGATAAGAGAAGACAACGTGGTTTTAATTTTTATGTAGGGGAACCAATTAAATTGACAAGAATAAACCTACATTTTTCCCCCAAGGCAGGCTTAAAGACTTTTAAAAAACTTTATCCCCACTGGGGAATAACTGGAGTGTAATTTGAAATGACACACTCTGTCACACATTGGTTTTGAATGGATGGAGTCTTAAGCTCTATGGCTCTTTTGGAAAATTACTATGACATTTCCAGACAATGGACTTGGAAAAGAGTTAGAAGATAAGACATTTCAAGTGGAAAACCCTATTATCAGCCTCTAAGGAAATGGTATTATTCATAACTCATTTCAAACCAAAGCATGTTTACAATAGTTACAGATTTACCCAGGGCTCCTTGGACCATATTTATTTTATATGTTAAATCTCTACAGAACTTGGTACTATTAAAATATATGAGTCTTCATTTTTATTTTAGTTTCAGTAGGTAACTATTCTGCCCCTCTCCACTCAATGGGGTTATTCACACTTGACTTTGGTACTCTATCTATTTGCCGTGGACAACTTTCTTCGAATGTTGACTGTGCTAGCTGATATAAAGGATGAGTGACAACACTGATGATTTAAGGCAGAAAGGGAAACAAGAAGACCAGGGAAAGGAAAAATTGACAGAAAGGAGAAAACTGTGGCAACAGTTTTGCTTCAGGATTGTTCTATCTTGACTTAAGAATTCGTCCCTTGATTTTACCATTTACATGACAAATTCATTAGATTTGCATGAAACTTGACAGGGTAACTGATCTATGTTCAATAAGAACCGAAAGGAATCCAAATGTTTTAAAAGTAGACGTCAGAGCAGATGGATCACACTCACCTCGGCTCTATTATCAGGGACAGGAACGGCCAACAACTTGTTGACACTTGTGTTGGACATTCCTGTTGTGGTTCTCAGCTCTTCTTTGAGTGCCTCTACATTTTTAAACATTTCAATTAACTGACCTGCAGTGAAAAAAAGCACCTGTTGGTTACAATATGATTCTTTTGGGCCCACTAACATAGAGAACTCTTCTAAACGAACATCTTCAATAGACATGGTGTCGGTCAGGAACAGATGTCTTCCAGTTTAGGCAATTTTTGCATTTTCAGGATCTATTTCTTCTGATTTAAACTTGTTCCTATTCTGGTATCATTAACCCAAGGTAACAGATTGCTATGGTTATCAATTTTTCTTAGATGTCTACAACTCAAGGTTGATTCAAGGAAAATAGATCTCTCCCAGATTTTACTCACATAATGCACTAAATAAAGACTTCCTCGCGTGATTTAAAGCCACACAAATTCGAAATGGTTTTTGGGCCATATAATATTGTCAACTCAGGGCCCTGCTTGCCAAATCCACAACATAGTGCCGTGGACCATTTTTCTTTAGCTTTCCTTAGCATGACACACTACAGCTTATGCAGCGTTTTCACAATCATCTCATTCTTAGAAAGGATATGCTTAACCCTGAATGCTTTCAGGTCAATGGTCAGACTGATTTCATATCTGGGTCATTTAATAAAATACAAACAATACTTTCATTTTATTTTGGCAGAGTGCCATCTCCAAAATGCCCCTTGGGTTCTTTCCTTAAGTATCCCCTATGCAAATGTACCTGCTTGCATTTTGGGACTTGGTAACCTTCTAACTTTGTGCTGCCTGTGGACCGACATTTTGAATGCCTTTCTTTTAGAATTGAGTTATTATGCAAAGAAGAGACATATTGTGTGATGAGTCATGCTCAGAATATGAAAGAAGGTTCTGAATTACAATTTCAGTAAACAGTGTCTCTTTTTTACTTAAAAAAATCAGATTATTTTCACAGAAGGGAATAATGCTTCACACCAGCTTTTGCACCTGACCATGGTTTTCACTTGAATAAAGAAGAGAAACAAAAGGGAACTCTATATCTAGTCAAATATTTGAAGATTTTATTTTTGTACTGTGAATGTAAATTTTTTTCTGTTAGTTTCAGTGTGTATGCTTTAGACAAGTGATAATTATTCTAAAACTTCAGGTGCCCCACCCCACCCCCACCCCCGTCCTGCCGTGTGAATGGTCCTTCCCTTGGAGAAAAGCAATAACAATCTGCTTTCGTAAAGAATATTCCATGAGAGCAGGTCCCACTCTGCCTTGTAAGGTCACTCTGACTCAGAATCAACTCGACGGCTTCAATTTACAGGCAGATAGCAAGTCGGGTCAGGCTGAGAGCTTTCCAAAACCCTTCTAAATACTGCAGCGTGAGAACCCCAGCATTCTAATCAGAGAGTACTTAAAATAGGGATGGGGAAACACCTGGTGGCTCAGAAGTGTCCGCGCTGTGATTGACATGCAGCATGGCTTCTATGGTAGGCATTAACCGTGTGATGTTTTCCAAGTAATTCATTTGTAACGCTTGTTCTAGAAACCTGGATCAAAACAGAAGAGGAGAAGGAATTCACTTAGGAATATCAATACTTTGAGAAGGGACTACCCCACGGAAGAAGACAAGGGGAAAACGTACCGATCCATATTTAAATTAATTTTGCTTGGATCCCCTGCAAGTAAATCCTTCAGTTTCTCAGAGAGGATATTTCCGTGGAACAGGAAGCCAGATGCTATTTTGGTGCCGAGCTCTGCTGCTTCAAGGAATTGTACGTGAAATGCACTCTCTCCACACAAGTTCCCAAAGCTCAGGTTAGACAGCCTGCACGTCGTCTCTATGGAACGGAACGTTTCAGACTCACAAAGAAGTTCAGTCAAGTTCCGGAGTTGAGACAGCTTTCCAGATGGAAGAAAGAGGGGGGAATAGATTAGTGACATTATTCTAAGTATTTACTAGTCGATAATAAGCAGCCAAAATGCATTTAGAAAGCGCATGTGGTTTGCGAGTTGGTATTTACCCTTCGTTTTAACGATAAGCACTAGGTTTCAACATTTAAGTTTAAAGTTCTCCTGAGATTTTAATTAAAAAAACCCTTTATGCATCTACTAGACCTGTTTTTCCCAACCACAGGCTCAAAAACGTAGATTCACAATCTTTTGAAAATATAGTTTCATGTTATACGTTTAAAATCACAAATACTTGAATGATAGGAGGGCAAGTCAAAAAGCAGCGACACAATATCACCAAAACCTTTACTTAACAAAAATATACAAGACGTGAAGCTACTGTTTATTGACGCGTCCCCATCTGGGTCTATCTGGGTCC